TTGTTTCTTCATATGTTTTGTAAAGGAATGAAGTATTCACAATTGAAAGTCCACAAAGGAAAGGTAAAATGATCATAGTCATGACTATATATCTATGTGTTGCTTTCATCACAGTACTTCAGCAGTGTTTATCCCAGTGTAGATGAACCAAAACCAAAAACAAAGCAAAACAAAACAAAACAAAAACAAAACAAAACCTTCTTTGTAAGGAGCATGATGGCAATTTGTACATAGGATTAATATCTCTCACCACAAGATAAATTCTTATCCAGCTGATAAAATCCATGCATAATCTATTTCAAGTTGATAAATTTAGTTGGTGGACAAGTTTATCTTTTGTACAGCTGGTCCCTGATGGTTTGGTTGTCGCCATGGTGATGACAATGATGATTATTAATAGTAACATAGTAAGATATTAATTTAATTCTCTTACCATTGGAAATATCTTCATTCATCCCATACTAGGTTCTTGAGGTTGAACATGATAAAGATTTCAGCGAATTGGTCACMCTGTGCCGTTCTTCCAATGGGGTTGATGTTCAGTTTTGGTCGCTCCCTAACTTAAATATTCARAGACAGATCACATGCCAAGGTGACGTCACTTGTCACGTGAGAATGGTGAGTGTATRTTCATATTGTTAATTTATATTGTSATTTGAAAATATTCTGTTCGCTRACATACAACATCGGACCGTTCTCGTTTTTTCCGCGCTTTTTTGATGTTATCAATCCAATTCTTTGACTGCTTGACTAGACTACTTCTAATAWTTTATGAAGTTATATGTAAAATGCGCTAGTGATCTGTATTGAATTTCACAACYCCACCCAGGCTAGCCCATCCCAACAGTGTCGCTTTGTAAAGCAGACAYGAWTAGCRAGTTAAGTCGGAATCAGAACGAAGYAATACGGACACTAGRRCACAATGTAATGATATCGATCCTGAAAGTGAAACCTTCTTCTATTGATATTAGTGATTATACACTAATTGTTACGTCATGTTATTGTCATGTCGTTATGATATCGATCACAGATCTTTTGCTTCCTTCTATTGATATAAGTAATTAAACACTAAATAACCGAGACTAAAACCACTTGTCTTGATTTCTGTGCGTCAATCGGTCTAACTTAGACAGCCGGTTTGGTCATTCCTTGTATTATCTGACTGTCACAGAACATACGGAAAGATATCGCAAATTGGTTCATTTTATGAATATGAATTTTATGAATATGTACTTTATCTTAATCAAAAAGGACATGTTTTGCTCGTCTTTGGCATCTTCAATGTGTATTGGATAACAAATGGAAATGGAAGACAGCATGAATCAGCTTCTTTTGATATTAACGCGCATTTTATCGTAATGTTGACTATCTGTGATCAAAAAACGACGCGAGAAGTGGCTTGACGTCGTGTAGACCATTCTATGACTTGCGTTCGTCCGGAGATTGTTATTTCATTTCCTTTTTTACAATTTCATGTGACCAGGTTGTAAKTTKTTTTGAAAAACACTTTTGTACGCGTACAAAAYGACATCGCTCTTTACAATTCTATCACTAAAAATACCATCGCTTTTAGTTGAAAATTAAGTAGATAAATTTAAGATAATTAGTACTTAAAAGTTTCGGACAAGTTATTCATGTATTAAATACCGCTTTGGCTCTCCGAGAGAGTCTGTAATATTCATAAGTGTGGTATTTCACTTGCAGAACACGCGCGAAGTGATTAGAACACGAGAAACGACTCGCGGATGCTCGTGGATCGATCAGATGAGAAATAACTCGCGGATTCATTTACATAGCATTTCATTTGTGTGTCAAGGATTCTCGTTTTCGTTGTTACAGGCAAAGTATAACGGAAAAAACAGACTTTATAATAGGTAAAGAATAACGAGAAAACTAGACTTTATAATAGGCAAAGTATAGCGAAAAAACTAGACTTGATAATAGGTAAAGAATAACTAGACTTTATAATAGGTAAAGAATAACGAGAAAACTAGACTTTACAATTAGTAAAGAATAACGAGAAAACTAGACTTTTTAAAGCCATAACAGAGCACAAGATAAAAACGCTTGGAACTTTATCGTTGTCGTAGAGATTAAACGAAAAGATCTAGTGATCTGATAAAGTAAAACTTAAGTACAGGCCGACAAATGTCATTTTTTTGTATAAGTGATTACTTAGAAAGTACTTTCTCTCCTTAACACTTTATAGCTCTATATAAAATGTTGATAAACCATATCGGATAATATAACTATAATGAAATTTCCATGAATATTGGATGATGATATGGTGATATAGATCTATATCATACACCCTGCGCCGGCCATTTGTTCGTCCAGTCATTATTTACAGTCGGCTTYTGCACAAAGCAAACGCACTTCAACTGAGAGATAATAAAAAAATGTATTTATTGGTTTGTATTAACTGAATAATATCATGTCAATGATATGGAATTGACCGACTGTGCAGTACCTTTTGTTCCATACTAGTTCAGTGACATAGACTACACAGTTTCATGCAGACTAAGATAGACAATATTTACTTTGATTATACTTATTTCACGGTTAAACTGTGTTTACAATGATATTATAAGCTTATTCTTATGGTCTTGCATAAGTAATTTGACTTACCAGTGACAATATGGATACGATATGATATGACATCGAAAAAATGAAATGAAAAAAAAGCGCGCACACTCTACCGACTATAATCTCTGTATTTGCTATCGCTCAATTGTATATACTTTCATATACCTTTTTGTATTCGTATACATTTCTTCATCACTACTGCATGTGATTCTTTCATACCTTATTCTCGCACAATAAATTATTAATATTATATAAACATTTWTTATCAGTTCATTCTTATCTCAAATAGCAAAAATAGCTCATCTGCGGGAGCCTATCGTTCGTAACTTTTGATTTAGTCTTTTTGAATGGGAATTTGTCATTCAAATGTTACATTATTTAGTACCGCACTCTGCCTTSTATTGACTGACTGATAAATGTCCTCTTTCTGGATGAAAATGTGTTCCTACGCACTCGAATCATACAGCGAGGGGTTAATAAAATGAAGTTAAATCCCTTGAGAAGGCACTGTGGCTGTCATCAACAGATCAACGCGTTGTTAGAATAAAGCACTTGCTTTTCCTCTAACCAATATACCCACAGTCGTTGTGTAAATACACTTGTGAATACGCGRTGTGCAGTGAATGCGACAAATTCACTACATGCACAATAACTTAGTCTCGCATTATTTAATTAAGGCGTGATGTTTCATGGCCGACAAAATGAAGACTGGCTCGATTTCTGATGGTATGAAACGTACGAACGAAGTTAATAATAATATCCTTAACTTTGATCGTTTTAGGCTAGTTTTCTTATATTACTGCCTTTGAAACAACATATAAAACTAATCCAGCAAATTAAAGTCATCTCCTCATTCTTGACTGGTCAAATAATAAACCTGATTCTAGAATCCTCTTAATCAGTGATCAAGTCTTCCAACTTTAATTGATTGTATTCGAGAATCTTTAATCTGCTCGTAGGCTTCTAACTATCATAAAGAATAAATTGGTGTCAAACGTAGGTGGCATTTATTGCGAAATTAATCAAAAGTACAATTTAAGCCGGATAGGTGAATGTCTGCAAACGAATTGGAAAACACAGCTGAACATCAAAAGGACAACTATTATTAAAATTATGCTTTGATAAGAATTTAACAAAAATAGAAAATCGATTGGAACACATTAAAAACTGAACACCACGAGAAATGTAAAAGAGAACGAACAGATCAGTTGCAACCAGTAAGCAACGAGGTTATAATACGCTTTTCATCATGACGTGAAAAAGACATATTACTTCCTAATGTAAAACTTTCTGAAGATGATAATTGGAGCATTGAAAAGTCACGCTGGGGTTGTTAGGATGAAATACTGAGCAGCTGATTGCACAGAAAAATCAATTGTTCGAAAAGAAAAAACACTTAGAACTATTTGTTAATGTAGGTACACAATGTCTTACAAAAAKAATATTTTACTGATTTATAAGTACTCTAAGTGTTTACTATTCTTGTTTTACAAGGGTGTGCACGTCTACCTCGTCTCGTAACCTCGTGTTTTATAAATCGATTTGTTTATTGAAGACAAAAATCTGAATCGTCATTTTGCGGGTGGCTAGCCGCACCCAAACCTAAGCTGCTATTTTCAAAACCCACGAGCTCATTAATGACAAGTGCTTTCACTAAAAGTAGAAGGCTTGTCCTCGAAACGCCTCGTTTTGTACACGAGGGTTTGACCTGTTTCTATAGAACTCTTAGACATCAACAAGTTGGACGACAATAGGTACAAAGGCACTCAAAAAACTGACGGAATCGCGTAGGCTGTATGTGAAGACTTSAATGACTCTACTTGGAGCTAACTCTTSTAGTCTACCACATGTCATCCATGCAAATCACATACTTGAGGGGGCTAGAGTAGGTTAATATTATGTCTAYGTMRCTGTGTACTTACAGGGTAGTAGTCGGGAGAAATGTCCCGCCTACCTTGAMCGTGAAACTTTGAACGAGGRAGARTTTTACAACTTGAAACAAAGTTTATTTTCTTTTTAAGATAAAAGTTAAGTAACAGTCAATTTGATAAAAGCCTTTTGGCTGTTTTGTTGTGAACGATTAAGATTAAAATATCGTTTTTGAGGTTATTTATGTGTTTACCCTGTGGCAAAGTGTGGTGACGTGCTTCACTTGATGAAAGATAATGAGTTAGTATAGGTATCAAGTAAAATATATTACAAAACATTCAAGGAAATCAAGACTTATTGATAGAAGAAGAGCATACGTAAAGAAGGCAACTGGAAATTTAATACAAGCAAAAGCAGTTAGTAATAAGATCAAGAAATCGAGATTCATGAACGCGCGAACGAGCACGACAAGGAAAAACACTATATACAGCATGAACGAATGCTAAACGATTCGGAAAGATTACGAAATAATATGCTTGCCAATATAAATCATCCTATAAGTCGGTATATATATCGTTAACATGATTCAGGTCCATGTTGAAATGTTATACTCATATTGCACAAGCAGGATGAATTATCAATCTTCTGAGATACTACCATGCATTTCGATATTACAACATATTAGTCCTAGTGACGTAGATATATCATTTCCTTAGTCAAGTATATATAAATCAGGTCGAATCAYACTATTACTGAAGCATTACGATTCAAGAGCAGTGGTCTCCAATCTAAAGGTGCCTTTGCCTAAGGGCGTATGTATCCTGCTTACGTAACAGCTTGATATTGTAAAGATTGTATTTTGAACTACATATATTACAGGAGAGTCATAAAATAATGTCGTGAATGTGATATCATTATAAGAGAAATACAGTTGTGCGCTTTACTTCCATTATTTTATTCTTTGATTTTTATTTCTAAACTATCAGGGTATTTTTTCATAGGTTTTAAGTCTTAACTCTATAGCAAGAAACGTGTTCTTCCATAATTCGGATATTTCATGTTTTCCAACTAGAGTCAGTATAGTTTTAAATCRGTTTGAAATAAAAATTGGACGTTATCGTACAAAAAACTTTCCTAAACAACGTGATTTGAGAGCTAATCTGTAAATCTACTCTTTGTTTATATTCTTTAGAAGAAAATCAGCACGAAGGGCGTAATGAACTATTAAAAAGCCGTCTAATATTTACTGCTAACGAAACAAAGTGGGGTCGCGGAGTGCGACCTCCAAGGTTTTCAACCCGTTTTCTTTGTTGATTTTTGGTGGTTTTAGCAACAAAAGATGTGATTTTATATAAAAGACCTGCAAAAAGCCTACCCCCAAAAGCTTCCTCTTTTTACCAATCAATTGTGTTAACATTCAATACAAACATGGTCCAACTAAACCCTGCATGAAGGAAGGAACCTGTACCAGTCTCTTACTTTGTTTGAAACCCTTTTTTGCGGTGGAAAATAGGTCACGCACAAACAAGTCCAATCTGCAGCAGAACTATTATCAGAAAGAAGAGAAAGAAAACAGTAAAAAAACTCGAGGAAGTAGAAGTTAGAAAAACATCAAAAGTTTATTTTATCCTATTCCTAATAACTCATATTTAAAACACCAACAAAAGATGTTTTCAAAATAAGATCATTAATGAAACTAAACGCAGGTTGTAAAAGATCCTTTTCGATATAAATAGAGTAGAAATGGATGTAACTAAACTAGGTGGTAGTCATTATGGTGGAAAATCGTGTGGTTACCCACGCGTTGTGCATTTAGTGATAAACCGATGAGAATCGTTGATCGGTAGGGATTCTTTAGAGTTCGCTCAATAACAAAAGCTGTAATCTACAGAGGATGGTATTCTTAAAATGATGTGATAGTTTCTTGAGTTTTCTGTCATCTTTGATCTTTTTTTTTTTCGTCGAATCGTGACTCAAAACWAATTTACAAGTAAGCCAATACTATCCAAAAAGTCAGTAACTTTCTGTCTTCTACGAAGAATGAATTATTATATTATAAGCAACAACTCGCCTCCGTACTCGTTTATATATTGCTAGTTCCTGTTCTAAGATTGATTTATTATATATTCCCAATAGTTCAGTCATTTTATATAGGAATATTGGGTATTTTTGCTTTCACAAGTTGATAGTATTTCAAAATGAATCAGTGACAAAACGTGACGTACACACTTTGCGTAAATCAACTGAAAATCCTTTTTCTCCGGCGGTGGAAGAAAGTCCTTTAAAAAATCAAATATTGCTTCAGGGCAAATTAAATTTACATTGTAAATATGGCGAAATCTTTCTTATCTCAGTTTTAAAGATATTTCAGTGATAGTACAATACACACGAATAGGGGCTATTATCTGTGGAACGTGATATGTGTTTCGAAAGATGTCGTTTTACGTATCGAGTAAGCGGTACTGTTATCGATCACATCAAGATCGCTTGCTTTACGTGTTAATCTATATCTTGACCTTGTACTCGGAAATGGTAATGAAGTTCCATTTTTTTTAGGTTGATTAACAACCTTTTAAACAGCGAGTTTTACTCGTGCCGAGATCATTGAAAGTRAGATGATGAGATAAGCATAGGAAACGGGAGTTTTAACGTAGTATAGGGACAAAAAAATATAAAAAAAAAATGCTGATACACTAAACATGCCTCACTACTGGAAATGCTTTATCGATAGTCGCGTGCATAGTGTTCGTTAGATTCCCTAATCCATCCGGTCTGCACTTTAGACAAAGACCACGACCCAGCATAGCGGATTTATAATATTGTAGCTCAACAAATCGGCTTTATTGTATTAGATTCCTGACAATAACTTAATCCTTTAGTATCCTAGGGATTAATAGAAAGTTACGTGTAAAAATCAGTAGACACTGCTGCCTATTTCTTCATGAGCAGCATTTAAAACCAAGAAGATAATGACTTGAGATAAAATCTATAAAAGGATTTTGTCCAGCAATATCCCTTCGTGATATTCAAAATTATTGGACTTGAGCTAACTCGTGCACAGGCTTATACTGATATCACGTGATAAGAGAAAAACAAAATGGCGACTGGATTATGTAAAAATAAAAACTTAATGCTAGTTTTGTGTGTGAATATTAATAACAATTTATTCCACTCAGTCTCTCAAGGCTGATAGCCAACACAATTTTACACTGAACTTGACGCTTCAACCTTGAAACCTAAGAATCAGCTTAAAATGTCATGTGCTATTTTGATAATGTAAAGTCTTTCTTGTTTTTTTTTTTTCGATTCAAGGTCAACATTGCTTTCCATCTGATAACATATATTTGGCATACAATGCAGTACCTGTAGAACCCTGGCTTATCTTATCAACAGCATGAATATAGATGTGGTGCATAATTATTAATTGAAAGGAAAAAATAGCCATGTTGATTAAGATACCAGTTTGGAGTAACACCTTGGCTTTACTGCATTCACTGACTTGTTTGATGTGAATATTATTATTAGTATAATCGCGTATGCTCTCACACATCCATCCATTCACCCATTCACCCATTCACCCATCCATCTATTCGTTCTCACATCCATCTTTTCAATCACATATCATTCATTTATACATCCCTTTTACCACTCGATTCCGCGATAATCCTTTAAACGTCCATCTATTTGTCGAGCCATCTTTTCTTCCATTCATTATTCATTTGTTTATTTTTCATTTTTGTCATCCATTCATTTTCCCTCCATATATTTCTATTTTGTCATTAATGACTACTAGAGTCTCTCAGACATTTTGAAGCGTTCGCCATCACTCCAAATGTCAACAGCGTACTTCTACGACAACTAACTACAAAGGAAACTGAGTATATCTACATGCTTATTGTGAAATCCTTGACTTGAATATCAATGCAAAACAGTAAAAAATGTCTCAACTCAAGAGCGACCACTTTAACTTAAAAAAAAATCATGAACATTTCACGCATTCTATTCAGAAAGCTGGTTTTAACGCTAACATGTTATTGGGATTACGACTTATCCCTTAACGATATAAATAACATGACATATAATGTTGTATTTTTTGTCTCTTTTCCCTGCATATTAAGCAAACTGGACGGTCACCAGTTGGCTCGCGTCGACCAATCGGAACGCAACCTTTTCAATTAAATATTAAGCAATAAAGCTATAGTTTTAAAAACTGCATGAAGCTAAACTGAATGTTAATACCTATTGAAATATATGACAACTATATCCCATATTATTTATTCTACCTTGTATTATAAGCCTTGTTAATCCAATTTCAGTAACTTTTTGTGTGCCGAGTTAAAGGAGGTAAAGGAACATTTAAGTAGAATAAAGATTTACGAGGCACGTTTCCGAATTTTGAACATATTGAAGTGTTACTTTCATCCCTTTTAGTGGCATTCATCGGAAAAGGACCAATAAGTGGAGAATACAAAATATTTACTCTAAAGTTAGCTCGACATGAAAACAAAATCATTCGTGTTTCGTTAATTTTTTTGTCATTTGGATATGAAATTTCATGTGAGCACAGCATGGTAATTTTAGTCGAAGATCAAATTTTGTTTGTTTGTGTAGGTGTAGCAAATAACACAGTTTGCAAAATATATATTTGATGTTTTTCACACCTCTGGTASTTGGGTAATTAAAAAAGGTATTTTCTGGAAATGAAAAATTGTCGCTACACCATAGCGCCTTTTGTCTCCGCGCAAAACACCTGACTTGTATTATAAATGAAATCATTTTTTTATCAAAATCTTCATTCTTACCGTCTTGCTCACTTGACAACAGCAATTGTAGAAAAAATGAATTTGTATTTAAAACAAAGAATAGCTTTCTATTAAGAAATTATTTTCAAGTAGAGCTCGATGAAAACAATTGTTCTTAAAGCGACGTAATTAAAACAGTTATGCTAAAAAACAATCTATTTTGATTGAAATTGAAAAAATAATTATGTGAAACTACCTCCTCTGATGGCCCAGTAAAATGAGATCAATGAAAACGGCGTTAAGTTGATGCAAATTACTAAGCAGTCTTGTACTAATTACGGCCAGTAYGGCTACCACAGTGCCMAAAATTATTTTCTTAACATAATTAGCTTAAAATCTAACCTTGCAACTGATATTCTAATTTCTTACATGAAAAACACTGTTTTGTATTTAAATAGTGAACTTGTGATAGTGGAAATAGAGTATCATATTAAATATAAGTCACTGTTAGTACTCATGTTCCGGCTTGGTTGTTTTTCATGCTTTGCTGACCCGCTACTCTAAGACCCTTAATGGAAAAACAAAGGCTAAAATGTCATGTATTTTTAATCTTAGTTTTCATTTCAAATGTAAATACAACGAAATCGTGAGGGCGAAACTGAAATGTGAACCCTTAGTGTTCAGTTTCGACCTACTTATAGTATGCACGAGAATATTTTTTCCATTTCATTTTATTTCAGACAAAAATTATAAATTTATAACCTCCAAAATACTCTTTGTTTCACGTAGAGAGGATTTTGTAAATAATAATAAACAAACGCTTCCCTTTTTTGCGTGAATCAAATTCGTTGATATTGAAGAACATGTGTGGCATCAAAAGAGCAYARCACGGTGGRGAACACCCCCTAGACTAGGTTTTAAATGCAAAATCATGGTGAAATTATTTTAAATTTGTTTTTCTATGAAGGTAGTTTACTGGTGTTGTGCAATTGTGTGGGGTTAACAATTGTCTCTCATGCTGATACCAACGTGGCTCACTTGACTTTCGTTTCGCCTTCTTCAGCCTTTCACCTCGTCACTACAAGCAGTAAGCACAAAAACACACGTTTCTTAGGTGCATTATTCGCTTCAATTCCGGTTCCGTTCGACTAGTAAGTCCACCTGTTATTCAATAGTTGCTTGGTCGTCGTTACAGCAACTCAAACACGTCACAAATCAACATAAAAATTCTGACATGGCTGTCAAAGTCACGTGACCTGAGGTTATATATATATATATAATATCAGTCGACGCTGATTCATTGCGATATTCGACCAAGCCAGCCACAGCAAGGACTAGCTCTCATGTACTTTCCGTTTGACGGTAAATTGAAGCGAATCTTATTGARATRAGGTATTGRTGATCACATAAGGTAAATCTATAAGTACAGAGGTCGACTGTCGCCTACGCTGAATTTCATGTGGTGACCAACTGAGCATTGTAAACACTTCGAAACTTATAAACGTGAAATTTTCCAACTTGGACAAGAAAAAGCTTAACTGAAATTCAACGTGACATCATCAGTTTCAGCAAAAAGCAGGTGCCTACACTGGACGAACTTGTCTCTTGAATGCCTCACTTTGTGAAATGAAAAAATCAAACTGAATTGGAAGCCATTTGAAAGTCTGATTCTTCTTCGCTTCAACTTCACATGGCAATAGAAGACATGATCAACTCAACCGTGCCAAGTAATATGACTGGCGTGGAGGACGTGGACAGCGCGGCGGTTCGCGCGTGTAAAGTTCTGGCCTACTGCCTCATTATTTTGATGTCGCTGATCGGCAACAGTCTYGTTATTACTGTTATTTACAAAGACAAAAGAATGAAAACTAAYATYAATCGTTTCATTGTGAATATGTGTATATCGGACATTTTAATGACTTTATGGGTTTTGCCCCAAACTATTTCTTCAATTGTGCATGATGGTCGTTGGCAGGTGACGGGAGATATGGGGGATTTCTTGTGTAAAATGGTTCCTCTCTGGCAAGATGTGAGTGCGGGAGTCTCCATATTTAGCATGACAGTCATCGCTTTTGATCGTTTCTTTGCWATCGTCCTTCCTTTCAAAGCGCATGTGATAACTACCAGAAGATGCTATCTTATGATATTCTTAACGTGGTTCCTCTCTGTTATAATTCATACGCCCTATCTATTTACCTTACGACTTTACCAATTCGATGAGGATAATATACAATGCAGACAGATTTGGCCAATTGATCTCATGGAAAAGAACATCCCTACGATATTTTACTTGCTCCAGTTTTCCATGTTATATGCCGTTCCTCTTCTGTCCATCGCTTTTTTCTACACCGCCGTCATTCTCGAGTTAAACCGCAAATCCAAGACAGAGAACCAGAACATAACACAGCAGCGCGCCAGACAGCGCGAGAACAGAGAAGTGTCTTTCATGTTGATAACTGTGGTTGTGTTGTTTGCTCTAAGTTGGGCACCGCTAAATACCATGGCGTTTTTACACTTTTTCAAATGGGAAAAAGAAGGGGTTAGCCCGTCATACGGTCGCACTTTACGCTTTGTAGCTGACTTCTTGATTCACTCCAACTCGGCGCAAAATGCTGTAATTTATTTTACTTTTAACAGTCGATTCAAGCAAGGACTCAGAAAGATATGCTGCTGCCCCAGCGGCCGCGACCATCAAGACAACGACATTAGTAATGGCTACTCGTCAATGAGATCGAAGCGTTGGTATATCAAGCGTGATTGCGACACGAATGTTGATAGAGTAGAGCTTACTAGCAGAACTGGAAATGGGGTTATTTAGTAGGACAAAACAAGATCAGTTCCTGTATCAAGAAGTGCAAACAGATATGACTACAAAACCACTTGTAAATTATTCATAAACTAATAACTGACAAAATAACTAGCTTAAAGAAACGCGTTTCCGAAACCGAAATCTTATTCCGAAAGCCACACTCGGAAGAGCAYTGATAAACATTTGTCAACAATCGCTGAACTGAATCAAGTAATATTTAATGCATGAAGAAAAAAACTCACTGCGTTGTATTCAATGTGATCTCCCATGTCAGCATGTTGCTCTAATCTCTTTTGGAAATGTCATAGTATTAGAACTCCTCTTTCATGTTTGTACCAGCAATTATTGTAGTGACAAGAAAATATTCTTGTACAGTTATCTAATTGTGTGCTCCATGTAGTCCGTCATTAGAAGCAATATCGATAACTCTACTGCTATGTTTTTTGTATTTATAGAATTATTTCTCATTTCCATTTCTTACAAAGTTGATAACAGATGTTAAAACTTTTTTGTTGTCATCATAGCGACGACTCATATTCAAATCTTTTCAAACCCCGAGGCATTGTGAGAGTTGTGTTTTAGCAATATTTTAGTTTTTTAAAGGATACATTACTCGGCTGATATATCTAATTTATCAAGTATATTCGTACATGACATAAAAGACTATTTCATGTAAATGAAGGAGGTGTATGATTTTTATGTAAGTAAGTAGCCTTAGCTATCCGGTGATTACGAAAAGTGCTTTGATACTAATAACCCATATTTTTAAGAAAAACTCTTGAAAATCACTAAGTATCAATAAACTTCCTTGACCACCGTACCGACTGTAAACTGTCTAAATCAATGTCATTCATAGAGTTAGAAAACATTTCTGAAGAATATCTGTTTTTTTTTWATTGTTTTTTCTCTATTACCACATTTTTCTTACTCTATTTAACCGTTTCTCTCTTTAATTTATTACTTCTTTCGTTTGTTTTCTGTTTTCTTCCATTCCATTTTTCCATTTCCCATTCCTCTCTGTATTTTGTCCTGTTTTCTTTTCATTCTATTTTCTTTGCAGTTTCTTTCAATGCCTTTTTTGTGATAATTCCCTACACACTGATACTTTATTGATGTTTTTAATTAAGTTGTTATCTTCGTGTCTTGTAGCCTTTTTCCCGTCTAAATATTGATATATCTTTCTATTTTAGTATGTAGACAGGAAGCTAAATATTCCGCGTCCAAAAAACCGGAGAAGCTATCGATATAATCTCAAAACTCATGTGGTATTCACCTTTTGTCTATGAACTGTTGCTTGCTGTTGTGTGTCGAGCAGTTAGTTGACTCTTTGCATTGACATRAAGAAGAGAACGTTTGGCGCAGATAAGGTCGTACTTTTCAAGCACGCAGTATAGGAATAGTGTAATAAATATAAGAAAAAATCGAGCATTTCCCCACAGACGGTACTGATTTTTGTGTTGTTTTACGATTGAATGATGACCCCGTTTGTCAGGGGTTTTTATTTCATTAATCGATACCAATGATAATTGCCAAATGATGAGGCTGAACATACGATTCGGAATTCTACGTATGTTGAAAATGAAAGGATACCGAGTTGTTGTCACAAGGAGAATCATATTTCACTTGTACTTTATCGATTAGGAATTTGACGCTATTCAATCTAGACATTAAGACACCATCTTTTTTTTGCGTTCTAGTATTTAATTTGATTCCTCTAAGGTGTACATGAATATATATGTGTAATTACCAGTGAAAATAAGCTGGACACAATTTATTGTGTTGTTTTTTTAATTGTTCCCTGGCAATTTTTCCCTTAGTAACGGAAAGCAGTGTAAATACCGACTAAAAAAAGTGTTTTACATTTTCGTAGGATCTCGTAGCGTTCGTCTAATCTGTGTTAAGSGGTGCAAAGCAATGTATAGGGGTTTTCAGTGTGTCGAAAACGCCGTTTTGTCTGTTGCTATTAGTGTCTGATTGCTCCTCCAGTTTTTAGGACTTTTTTTTCTAATTGTTCAGCCGCTATTCAATATCCTTAAATATTGGATGGATRTAAATTTAATCCATTCCGTCAATATTTAGCATTGATATTAGTAATCTTCATTTAATCTCTTCAATTTTAATAAAAAATATGCCGGTGACTTCTTTTTCAGATATTTAATTAAAAAAGTAGATATTTGACTTGTCTTCTTTGTGCTTGAAATAAGTAATAATAATAATTATCATTTTAAAATCAGGATTCAACTAAAGTAAAAATCCATATTGATGACTAATAATAATATTCATGATAAATAATTGATGATAAATAGAATCTTTAAAGTATTATAAAATATTCATCAGATACTCGAGTTCACTGACAGTTTGTAGTAGATGTTCCTGTTTGGGGATAGTGTTTGCTTATTAATTCTCGCTCAAAACATAGTATTTTGTTATCTGGAAATGTTTGTAAATAGAAATCGATAAGATGACACTGAAAGGGTTTCCTGGGGAGCAATTCGAATGGCTTTCTCGCCAAGAGGTGACACCTAAGTGGCTTCCCCAGAAGAGTTTTGTATTTGTTTATTCTAGTTTAATTCTGTTAATGTAAAAACAAATAGAGACTGTCAATGATTCCGCGTTATATGATCGGTACGTGTTTGTGACTGATCACAAAAACCATTATAAAAAATACACCAACTTTCAATAATGCTCAATCGCTTGGACATTGAAATGGCTTTCGATTAATGTTTGTCCTTGGTGCATATGATTGCTTTTTTTTTCTTTTATTGGCAGAAATAAGTCATTAAAATATTCAACTTGAACTGCTCAACTAATTTTAAAACCTTGCGATTTTAGTCGTAAATAGTAAGACCCTATATTGGTTTTGTTGTAATCATTTTAGTCCCTTTGTTTTCTCATCTAATGTAATTATAGAATCGACTTCTATAGGGCTTTTTGTCTCTGTTWTTTTTACTTTCCATCATGAATACGCAAATTTAATCGCTTATTTCTTGTTTTGCACGAAAATTATCACTTTTCTTCCAAGACWCTTGTCTTTCCGGTAAATTACGGTTAACTTAAAGCAGGAGTTAAAAACATTTCAATATTAGAAAGCTACTTTTAAAATGKGCTATTCTTGCCCATGTTTTTTTCTTTCTTTTTTTGACGATTAATGTTTTCTATTAACTATTGCCTCAGGAACAATCAATAAATCTTTTTGATAAAAGATTCTAGTTAAGAACAGTGAAGACTAGTACTACCCTCAAATAYACTTCAGTAACCAATGTTAGGTTCTTATAAAATGGTGTTATCATAGGTTTTTTGGTTCTCTATTAATCCTTTAATGTGTATATTTACCTATTYATATTCAGTATTTAGAACTAAGGGACACCTGTACAGTTCTGTAAAAATTCTAAGAGTTATTTTCAGCTAGACTAGTTTTTTCCCTAAGGGAAATCTTGTCGACGCCTTCCTCTAGCCATGTTTTTATGTCTAWGCTAAACGTAATGTGAACAGAAGGGACAAAAACGCTGTAATTATGAATCGTGCATTATACGACAACAAAGAGTACTCTGAAATATTAATGTCMAGTTTGAATCGTGCTTCTCACAGTACATTTATCGATATACATTAGATTCATAATTGTATTATTTTGACAGTCTGGAGCTACAGAAAATATCAGATGACGAAGTAATGATCATACTCACGTTACATAAGATAATATGAATGTATCGAAAAGAAAGATTTCATAAGATATACTATCAAACATATGTCATGTGAAACAAAAAACGCCCCATTTACCTACAATTAATGAAATCACCAACCAGACTGACACAGCTTAGACATCGTTTAGTACTAATATGCTTTCGTAGCGTTTTTCTTATTTTTCATCCCCGTTCGACTGACAGCAACACGGTACTGCTTGGTTAAAAGTGAGGTCTAAGTCAAAACCACTGATAATCAAACTAGCGTTCATTCATTGCTAGCCATATGACCCTGCAAGATGCAACCCTACTGGGAAAGTTATGTTGTATTCAGAATGTCTAATAATGCATGTATTATTCAGAAGTGATTAAGGAATATAGTTATACATTGAATTTATTGTCGGGTATTTCTTGCTCTTGCGACGTTATTGTATAAAATCTGACTGAGCTAATTACGTGTTTACAATGAAGCTTTTTTCAAGTTAATCCTTGTCGCAGCAAGCCGCATTACATTCCTTGCACCATACGCTTATCACAACACTGAAACCAGTGTGTGCGGTGCTTGCATGTCAAATTCCTTCCTTTAGTCTCACTATGCAAGGTCAGTTGATGATATTGTACTATGAGAGCGATCATGATGCATATGGTACTAGTGATGATGATGATGATGATGATGATGATGATAGTGGTGTTATCAATCATACTAATGACATCGTTCATGTTGTTTGAGTGGTGGTCATGGGACTAAATAAATAAATAAACTCTTTTTATTTTGAGAGGGTAGCACGTAATAGTCTCTAGACTAGTAAACTTGTGGCCCTCTATATATTCACTCAAACTCACTACCTCAACATTCATTATTTTACTACACGACACTCCTCACAGCTAGTTTTTGACGGAGGGAGGAAAACCAGCGGACCTGKAGAAAAACCCTCGGAGCAAGGAAGAGAACCAACCTACAAACTCAAATCACATATATGAAGTGTACATATATGTGACGTTATAAATACTAAAAGGCTACCTTTCTTTATAATTTATTAAACCCTGACTATTAGTGATTCTCTGAAAGTAGTCTGCTGAAAACTGTCTGCTGTTAACATTCTGTTTTCTTGATAGTATCGTGTGGTAATGAGTGTGTCATGGTTATAATGTTGTAGTGGGTGATCTTGATAAAGGCACTACAAACTTCAATCAGYACTCAAACAATTCAAAATATCAACAAAGACAGTGAACAAAAAAACACAGCAGCAAGCAGCACAACATCTGTTATCATGAAAGTAATATCCATTACCAGATAAAATATTGTTGTGATTATTTCAGACGAGTAGTATCCATCCAACTTCTGACTAAAACAAATAAGAATGTTTTGTAAAGAAAAGCAAGACCTTTTAGTTTTTTTTAGTGATATTGACCAAGTGCGATACTCYTTGTTTTTGCTTATATCATTTATTTCTGTGCAATTATCAATCAATATCTAAACACCTGTTATTCAAGACCAAACCCTGCTCCCTGTTTTCGTCGTGAATGATGCCAATCTAAGTCGTCTAGTCCTTTCTACCACTTAAAGTCAGTTCTTTTTAATCGTATTTCGTTCATGATGTTTTTAAACTCTTCTGTTTTTAGCATTAAAGGTGTTGACTAAGATAGATTTCATTATCTGACTAGTACAATTTGTTTTTTACGATAATCAATCTACCTTCTGTTTTCACATACWTTTCGCGGTCGAATGAAATTCACTCTTGTTGATAAAAAATAAAATTTACTATTAACTCTAAGCTCTASTTTCACTGTTGACAGCAAAAGTCACTGTATTTCGTGTTAGGTCAAGTAGTCTCGATGCATGATTAGGGATAACTGTTTACATCTAACAATATCTGTCAAAGCTACTTCGATACATGGTTGTTATTTGAAGGCGTTAATTGCCAAGGGGRCATTTACACTCGATAAATAAAAAATAAATTGGTGCGGTTTACTGGCGACAAAAAAACAACGAGCGAATTGTGGTCTTTTTGAGAGTTCCCGAAAACTCCAAAGTGTTTTACTTTAAGTGTAAACCACAGACATCCACTCTTTATTCATTTTATGATGAAAAAGAGGCGCTTTCCCTCGAGAACTAGARCATGCGGTTACTTGTGATATAAAGACCGCTCT